TAAAGACATCCTGCAAGGTAGATATTATTATGTTCATCACAGTTGAGAAAATCAATGCTCAAATAGGGCAAGTAGAGTCCTTTGGCTTTCAAGTCTTCCTCTGAGATACAAAAAACTGGTTGCCAGAAGGGTTTTAAGGAATTTGACAAATGATGGGCTTCTGAGACTCACACAGTGAGTTTGGACTAAAAACCAGGTTTTCCAATTCCCAGTCCAACTTCTTTCGCCACATTACAGCATTGCCACCCAAAGCGCTGGGTTTTCCCAAGAGGTGTTTGGATGCGATTCCAAGCCAGCGAGATGCAAATAGGTCTGACCCACATTCCAGCTCTTGGATAAATAAAAACTCCTAAAGGGCAGCGCCCATTTTGTGTGCTTAATTTGAGAGCCCCACTGTGGATAGTCAATCAGTATTGAACAACTATAGGTACATTTGCCAAGGACTAACAGCATGGGCTCAATTTTAGCAATTAGAATACTGGGAATACTGTGGAGGAACCTCATAAAGGTGCTGAAAGCCTGGATCAAGTAGTCATAAATTTCTAAGAGTTAAAAAAAAAAGCTCTGAAGTCATCTAATTAAACTCTAATTTTATAAATAAGATCCTGAGAAATTAAAATAACGTGCACAAGGGTTTGACACCAGTCGGCAACAGACCCTTTTCTGTCTCCCAGTTCTATTTGTGTCGTATGGTATTGTGAGATAGTTTTTAGGAATGTAACATGTTGTAAGCTCAAGTTGGATTGGCTGGTTACAGAGTCAAAAGTGATAATAAAATGTCTCTCAGATTTAATTTTTCCTTATCCCACTGACCAATTGACCTCTAAGGAATTCTCCCTTGCTGGCTTTCAAATTCAACCAAGTTGGTTATTATTTCTCAACAAGTGTTTCATTAGTTTTGGCCTCCTGAACTTCTCTCCTGGCATTTCTCCCTATCTGCTAGCCCTCGAAGCTCTCTGTACTATTCTCTATATAGTTCTCCTCCTCCAAGAAGGCTTCTCTGATTACTCTTCTTCCATCAATGTTTATCTTATTTTGATTTGCATAATATTTACATTTAATTTGTTCCTACCTATCAGTAGAAACGATTTGCTGATTGCCTGGATGTTTTTTATATCCCCAAAGAACAGGATCAATTGATTTTACTGTTTTTCTTTTTTATGGTACCTAAGACAATGCTGTGCTCCAATGAGCACCAAATATTTGTTAAAGGTACAAATCATGTTAATTAACTTTGCTACAAAAGGGAGACTTCATTCTTGATAGAAAATGAAATTAAGATAACTTTTACCTTGCTATATTTTTCTGATTTCTCAAAGACTAATTAGTGAGTCATGTGCACCTAAGTTTGGTAGTCTAGCAAAAAATTAGTTTAGTGGTGGATATTCTGCCAGAATATTAGTCCAGTGGTTCTCAACCCTGGCTGTTCATTTGAATCAACCGGGAAGCTTTTAAAACTACCAATACCCAGGCCTCACCACAGATCAACTGAATCAGAATCCTTGCAGGTATGCCCAAGCAATGACTTGCATGTATCATATTGATATTTTGATTTGCACACATTGATATGTACAACCTCACTCTCATTAACAGATTTGTCTAAAGAATGAGCGTGTTCAAATGTGGTTTTGTTGTCCTTAGAATCACAAAATTTTAGAACTGAGAGAGAACCAAGATTCTATCTGGATCAGTCCCTTTATTTTACAGCTGAGGACACCATGGCTTAAGAGAGATTGAGAGAGTAGCCTCACATAGTGGCACAGTGGTTGTTGAGTGACAGTTTGTATCTTGAATTAGCGAAATTCTCTGAACTCCAGTTCTGGAGCTGTAGCGAATAGACCAAGCTGTTTAGTTTTTTAATTTCTGCTTTCTTCTAAAGAAAATGTATAAAAAGTATTACATGAGAAAGATTTGGATTCTAAAAGCTGTTGGCACCAGGTGCTCCTTTAAGACCCTCAATTTGGCACATTCCAACTAGTCCATTGTCACGGCAGAGGAAATGCCACCGCAGGATATATCAAAGTCGAAAATAAATGACTAGTAACTATTTGCAGCGTTTTTTCATTGGCCCTGACCTATAAGTTCATAACATTTTATGCTATCAGAGTCCAGAGTGTTTCTAGCCCTTAACTATACCACTTATTAGCACACTTATTGCTTATGAGCAAGCTAATCAACACACTGAACTTCCCTTTTCTTTTTAAAAAGGAAGATAGTGCCTGTTCTACTGACCTTGCATTTTTCAGCTATTACAAGGATTAAATCAGATGATCTACGTGGAGATATTTTGAGAACAGTAAAGCACTATTCATATATATGTACAGAATTATATTACTACATCTCAGAGCATTGACTTGTGAATAAATATTTGTCGCTTTGATTACCCAGGCTCTAAATCCTAATTCCTTGGCACCAAGCCACGCAAGAATCAACAGGAACTGGAGTTATCACTGGACCAGAGACTCTAGTCACTGAAAGTATCACATAACTAAATATTCAGGGAGGTAAAGTGATGTAGTGACCCAGGATTTAGCTAGTCTAGGCTCTAGTCCTGGAGTCTGCTTTTAACTATTGATTTTGGACAAGTCATTTAATTTTTCTGGGACCAGAGTCTCGTCAGTGGTCAAAGGATGACTTGAATTAGAGTCAAAGATCCTTTTGATTTATAAAATCAGAATATTGGTGCTTTATTAAGATTTACTAAAGTACAATTTCCCAAGCCATTAATTCATGTGGTTTCACATTTTTAAAATCTCTTTTTAGAAGTACAGGGTTGGAGCCTAAAAACATAGCCTATTTCTGGTAAACAGGCATTTCAAACACGTGTATAAGACCCTCTTTAAAAGAAACATCTCTACTCAGATACTTTATGCTTGTTAGTATCCTGCGCAGGAGCCCTTGCTCCAAAAATACATAGATGGTTACCCAAAAAGCACGTAGTACAGTACTGGACAGAGAGTAAGCACCTGAATATTTTACGTTACAGCTCTCAGTGTGAGTCCCAGTTGGTGTAATTTAACTAATCTGAGCCTGATTTCCTATATGTAAATGGGAACAATACCTTCCTCAATGATCCACTGAGATGGTGTATATAAAAATGTTTTGTAAATGATTAAAAAAATAACTGGAAGATATTACTATTACCTAAGGAATACAGCTTACTATACCGTGACTTTTCCATGAACGTGCTTTGTAAACAGATAGATTAAAAACTTTCTGACTTTATTATGGACACAGCACTTACCCCAATACCTGGCTCAACAAATATGCTCAATAAAGGTTTGCTGTGTGAAAAGCCTAATCCACAGAAAGACCAAAAGCTCCATGAGCTCAGATTGCATACTTGTTTTTATTTCTAAGTTCTCAGAGCCTAGCACAATGTCTGACACATAGAAAAAAAACCCTCTAATTCCTCTTTAGCACAGCTCAAGAGGGAGAGGCAAGCAGGGCTGACATGAAAGATTATTCTGGTAAAGGCTGCTTGGAATGGAAAACTGAAAGTTACTTGGAGAATTCATCCACTCTCTAGCAAATAGCTTGGGAGAGCAGAAAGAGCATAGATAGGTTCCAAGTTCAAATTCAGTTTCCAAATTCTGCAACCTCGGTAAATTAATCTATTAACCTCTCCAATACTCAGTTTCCTCATATTAAAATGAGAATAGTACCTCCCTCATAGGGTTAAGCACTAAAATGGAAGCTCCACAACAGCAGGGACTTCATTTTGCGTCCACTGTAAACATACTGAACAGTATTGAACGGTATTGAACAGTGCCTGGCACAGCATAGATGCTCAAATATTTGTTGACTTAATTTGTGAGAAATTGACTGAGATAACACAGGTAAAGTATGTAACAGAATGTCTGCATGTAGCGAACACTGAGCAAATGTGAGCCTCCATCATCATCACCATCACTACCATTACTAGTATATCCGTATTATCACATTTACCGGCGGTTGTAGAGCGGCTGCCTTTGGGGAAAGACGCTGATACAAATCTCGAATTCCCCATTTACTGGCTATGTGACTTAGGACAAATTACTTAACCTATTCGGGTTCCTAAGGTTCCACAAAAATCTCAAGTGTCGTGAAAAATCACCTAACTCTGAGTCTGCAGTCCCGGCGGCACGCGATACAAGGCGGCTATTATTATTAAGGCAAAAAACCGCCGGGTCCCCTTTTTATCCGAGAACTGCCTGCAATTTCCCACATTATTGTAGCTGAATACATAGCATGACCGCAAACAAGGAAGGAAGGAAAGAATTTCAAAGAGACCGAAACCGCTAAACGAGAAAAGAGGGAATTAAACCGGTGCATGACAGTTCCCACCAAGGGGTGCCAGTCTCCGCGGCTGTCAACCAGTCCAACCAGCAAAGGCTCGAGCAGGACGGTCAGCTCCGTAAGGAACAAAAAGGAGGCAGAGCCGACGCTTAGGCCCTCCCCCTAACGGTCTCTGGGCCGCTGGCCTCAGGCGGCCGCTGGACTCCGGCTTCCGGCCTTCGCAGGACCACACTTCCCAGCATGCCTTTGGAGGGAAGTCTTTCCCGCTGGATGACTACCAATCCCGACATGCCATTCGGCACTCCGGTAAGTTAGATGGAAGAGTGGAATGACCCCATTGCACGCAGGGAATTGTAGTCCATTTAGCTGCTGGCTCTTAGAGGGGCGGGGCAGAGCCGGGTCGCTCTTGTCAGCTGAGGAGAATGATTCATAGAGGAGGGTCAGGAGAGAACAGTTGAGTCTGTGAAAGCACACTTAAAAGGCTGGACTCTTCTCCGAGGGAGGGAGGGGCAGGAGAGCTAGCAGGGCCTCGGGCCTGACTCCCCCCTCAGGCCGTTCGCCAGGCCTCTACCGAGTCCTGGGCCTTGTCGGGGGTGGCCGCGAGGCGCCGGTTGCTGGGGGACCGGTGACGTCGCGGGGTGAAAGTTGAGGGGCGGTGACGTCGGGCCTGCCCGGGCGGAGGCTGGCGGGTTGGAGGCAGAGGGAGGGAGGGAAGGAGGGAAGGAAGGAAGCTGGGAAGAAGCGAGCGAGCGAGCGGGGGCGCGAGGCGTTTACCTGGAGGCAGCGGCTTGGGCGCGCAGAGCGGCCGCGGCTCCCCCGCACCTGCGGCCATGGATGAGGAGCGCGCCCTCTACATCGTCCGGGCCGGCGAGGCGGGGGCTATCGAGCGGGTCCTGAGGGATTACAGCGATAAGGTAAAGAGCCCTGGCCCCGGGCATGCGGTATAGCACCCTCGGGCCGCCCCCCGGGCTTGCACATCGCATCCCTCCCAACCCCCTTCATTCCGGGGATGCGCGTTGCTCTCCCCTGAAAACGTTTCCGGCTTGGGCATGCGTGTTTGTGCCCCCAGCCTTTTCCATCCGTGCATCCTGTATCCCCCCCCCGCCCCCACCCCGGCGCCCACCCCTCTGATTCCGGCCCAGCAGTGTGTCCCACGGTCCTCTTCCCAAGCGTGCAAGTCACACCCCCGGAATCCGTGAGCGTGCGTCTGTGCCCCTCTCATGGATGCATAAATGCACGCGAGTCCTCCTCACCTGCATAGCTTAAAAATAACTTGTTTCTGTGTATAAACACGGGCCTTGACATGCATAAAACGTATCGGCCACGATGGCAGTTCGTTATATACGTACAGGACTGTACAGTTTTCAATGCGTGATGTCTCATATATATGGTCCAACTTGATTCTCAGAGAGTTTACAGGGTAGATAGCATCATCCTCCCCATTTTATAGATGAGAAAACCGAGGCACTAGGAACTGAAATCACGCCAAGGTCATGGACATACTGTGTTGTAACTGGGGGCAGACTAACTCCTAATAATACCTGTTGTTTGTATCACATTAACAGCTTTCCCATCCATTATCTCCTTCAATCTTGACAGCAATCCTGTGAGGTTTTATCTGCGTTTTTTAATTGAGATTCTAGATCGGTTAAGTAACTTGCCCAAGGTCATACTTCTGAGCTGGGATTCCAACCTAGGTATTATTCTTTCCACTTTACAACTCTGCAGGAAAAAGGTATCTTATATATCCCAGTCACTTCTCTGAATGTCGCTTCAAGCAAGACCCGTTAGCTCTCCATTACTTTACCTTCCAGGAGTTTTATATGCTCACTCTTGAAGGTAACATACCACACCTTTATTCTTCCATTTAGAAGACCACTTTATAGAAATAACTGACTTCTGTGAAAACACACCCAACACCATGTCACACCCTAGATATAACATCTTTCTTCCTTTCATTTGCCTCCATTCATAATTTCCCTTTCTGTGTTTCTGTGTTTGCTGTGTGCCCACCACTGCACTTCCATACACTTTGTATTGTTGAGCTGCCAGTATGCCATTTCTGCTCCATGTGGAGAAGATAAAAAAATAAGGCACCTGCACTCCCATTTAATCTTCCCAACAATCCTATGAGGAAAGTGGTGGTATTCCCATTTCACAAATGATAAAATTTAGGATGATGTTACCTCAAGTCCACACAGTCATTGAGAGATGGGGCTGAGATTTGAATCTAGGTTTTCTGACTGCTCTTTTACAGTACTATGCTGCTTTCTTTGGGAGGATGCATGGATGCAGTTCTATTCATATCTTAGCTTCCTCACTTTCTGATATGCTTTACTGTTGCATATCTGCATAATTTAGGAGAAATTAATTTAATGCACAGATGTACATATTGTGGAGATTACAGTCATCCCTTGGTATCTGCAGGGGATTGGTTCCAGGACCCTATACCTCCCCCATGGATACCAAAATCCATGGATGCTTAAGTCCCTTATATAAAATGGCATAGTATTTGTATATAACCTACACACATCCTCCCTTATAGTTTAAATCATCTCTAGATGATTAGATTACTAATAATACAATGTAAATGCTATGTAAATAGTTGTAAATACAATGCAAATACTTTGTAGCTAGTTGCCAGTTAATTCAAGTTTTGCTTTTTGGAACTTTCTCCAATTTTTTTTCCAAATATTTTTGATCCATGGTTGGTTGTATTCACGGATGTGGAACCTGCAGATATGGAGGCCTGACTCTATATTCATTCAACTTGATTTATAATTGCTTTCCAAAAAAGATTTGAGGCAGCTACAAACTGATTTTCAAAAGAAAGAAATACAACAGAAAACTTGGCCATTGTATTGAATCAAGTAGTGTTTATTTAGCACTTATTATATCCCAGGTATCCAGCAATAAATAGGAACTTTCTTCTATGCAGAAGGGAGGAGGAAAAAATCTCGAACTGGATCTTATCTCCTCCTTCAATATTTTCTCCTTCCCTTCATGGCTAAACTAATTAGAACTCCAGATTTGCTTCCTCCAGTTTATCTCTTCCTCTCCTTGATCTCCCTTCAGGTTGGTTTCCATTTACCACTCCTGGCCAAGTGCTGTCAGAGCTTAAGTTCTGGACATCCCCAGCTCTCCTTTCACATTGGGAATGGCTTTAAAGTTGTAATGCCCAGTGTGTATCGTCTGGGGTGGTATTTTGGGGACCACGCTTGAGAATGCTGTGCCTTGACGTGGACCGGCGCGGCCAGCTCCTTCAGAGAAGAGCTCTCATGTTTAATGCTGATTATAGTAGGTCCAGAGTACAAAGAAAATAGCTGAGTTTTATGTTGGCAGTGGGGCTTTGCCCCTCAAGGCAGGAGACACTAGAGGCAGATGAAGGAGAAGGGGAAGCATGATTGCAGTGGTCTGGCAGTAAGAATGGGGAGGTGGAATTAAATTGCCCTGCTCTATGGGAAATGGAGTCTGAAACCCTGAAAAAGCACCTGGGTATTACCATGTGCCTCATTTTCCTTATCTGGAAACATGGATTTGGGAAATGCTTAGAGTGAAGTGATTATGGGGTATTGAGGAGTCTAACCAAGAAGGGAAATGAATGATGTAGAGAGAGAATGATTGGTTCGTCGTTCTCAAAAGAAGGCAGCAAGTATAATGGAAAGAAGGTGGAATTTGGAGTCAGATAAATCTTGGTTCAGATCTGCCATTTATTAGTGTCATGACTATGGACAAGTTATTTTAAGGCTGAGTCCCAGTTTCCTTATCTGTAACATAGGGTTCTATCACCTAAGTTGTTATGAGACCTCAATTAAGTGAAGTATAATGCTGAACGCTGTGCATAATGCATGTAGGAGGCATTCACTAATGGTCAAGGTGCTCAAGAGGTCCTGCGGCAAGAGCACGGGTTCTGGAGCCAGACTGCCTGAACTCTGATCCCTGGCTTACCATCCGCGTGGCATAGAGCAAGGTACTTAACTTTGCTGTGTCTCAGTTTCCTCATCTGCCAAACAGGGATAATAATAGTACCCACATCATAGGTTTGTTGTCAGGATTAAATCACTTATATGTGTAAATCATTTAGAACAGTGCCTGGCACTGAAGAAAAACCCATAACTGTTAGTTTTGAACAAAAGAAGTCAGGAATTAAGCATGTGGCATGGAGTTGACGTAGCCTGATTAAAAAAAAAATTAGAGAATATACTCCATTCTTTCTCTTTTTCCTTGACCCGTGCACTTTTTAATGGTTAGCAAAATACCTTGTACCATGTTTAAAGTAACATTTACCCGTCTGGCTCCAGGTAACATCTAATTTCTACTGTGTTAAGGAGATTCTAATTTTCAAGATTTCTTTCTTCATTCACTGACCCTTCTTGTCTTGGGGAGAAGGAAGATCTATCTACCCTAGAAAAAAATGAAACTTGTCTGTTTCTCAAGGGCATAATGCAAGTTGACTCAGCATAGGAAAGTAGTTTTTAAAAATAGGAAGAGTGTTGTTCTTTTTCACTTTCAGTTCATCTAATAGCATTTATTGAGTGTCTGCTATGTACTATGTATTATCCTATGTGCTTTCACATGTCATCACATATTAAAACTTATGAGGGTGACTAAAGTATTCTCCCTTTTTTTTGGGACTAGGAAATTGAGGTTCAGAAAGACAAAGTAACTGTCTACAGGCCTTAGGGCACATAGCTAGAAGTGGCAGACCTAGTCTTCGATTCAATATCCAGGGCTCTTTTTGCAAGGCCCTGTTGGCTTGCCACTGTCTATTCTGTGTTATTGAGCACAGAAGAGAAAGGGTTTTCAGGACTATTTCCTTTGGCTACTGTTGGGTCCCAGTCACTCCACTCCAGTAATAGAATGAGCTATTAAGGTGGGAAGTATATATTGCTCTAGTCTAGGCTGTCCAAGCTTCTTCTCCTCCCCTAGGGCTTGTTCTGCTAACAGATTTAATAGAGAGATTGGTTGGCATCATTATGATTATCAACAACAAACAGTGATCAAGAGCCTTGAGGGTGCATAGTAGTATCTTAGTTCCTTGAATCCAGGGTATTTAGACAAGAAGGAACCTCAAAGATCATTGGGTCCAACACTCTCAATTAATAGGAGAAGAAACTGAGGCCTAGCATCATCATCAACTATGTTGATAACCAGAGAGGTGGCTTGGTGGCCATAGAGGCCACCTAGACATATGATTACCCCTTAGCAAGCTCCAGTAGGATTCCATTATGGAAGTGTGGCAAGTTTATGGCCAAATGAAAGGTAAAAGTTATTTAAGATACAGACAGGCATGTAGGTCTCTGAGAGTAGTCCTCATAAGAGAGGAAAACAGCACTGATAGCAGTGAGGTCTTTATTTATGTGCTAGAAGAACCTGATTGATAGGGACCTAATATTGGGACAGTTCTAGAAGTACAGCCTCCACATTTGAATAGGATATATAAATATCCTGGACTATGTAAGAGGACTTTTTGTTTTACACTTTGAGGTTGCTTCTGAATGGATTGGCATATTCTAAATTCAATTTGTACTGCCTCACAATACCAGTATATTTGCTAATTAAATTAAGCCCTCATGTTAGTTAGGGCTTTTGAAAGCTTGCTTTCCTTCCTTCCTTTATTTCTTTTTTTTTTAAATGTTGCGGTTTTGTAACAGGATCAGCCTTGCATTTAAAAAGAAAAATAAAAATTAGTCCTTGATACTATTCTAAATTATCACCTTGAGAGATTTAATTCTATGTAGAAACCTTTTAAAAGATATTTTTATAACTTAACAAGGGGCTTTCCAAAAGACGATTTCTTTTTCTGTTCCCTTACCATAAAGGCAAAAAAAAAAAAAAAAAAAAGTTTAGGAGAACTATTACATTGGCAACTAGGTACATTTATTCCAGATAATGTGTGGAATTAATATTTCACATATAATGGCAAAAATTAAGCTTCTTGTTTCTAAGTGCAATTATGTGTTTTCATTTGTAGTGAACCTTTACTAAGCTTCAGTTTATAACCATACAATCTAATAATTCTTTTTTTTTTTTTTTTTTTTTGCGATATGTGGGCCTCTCACTGTCGTGGGCTCTCCCGTTGCCGGACGCGCAAGCTCAGCACCCATGGCTCACAGGCCCAGCCGCTCCGCGGCATGCGGGATCCCCCCGGACCGGGGCACGAACCCGCATCCCCTCCATCGGCAGGCGGACTCCCAACCACTGCACCACCAGGGAGGCCCCAATCTAATAATTCTTGATCTTTTATTCAATGTTAGTTTTTAGTAAACCTTGGGTCTGTAAATTCCTAAGTTATAGTCTTTGTTGTTTCTTCCTTCCTTTTCTTCTTTTCTTTCTTTCCTTGCTCATTCATTAATCTATTTACCTTTTATATAAAATTTTTCTTTTAATTATAAAAATAATATACCAACAATGAGTTTTGTCAAAGGAATCACCAGCAATTCCACCAGCCCTATATAGTTGTTTTTATTTTTGCATTTTTAACACTCAAGGCTTTGTTTGAAATCATCCATACATTTATGTAGGTACTGTCATCATAGACATACAGTTTGATGTTTTACTATTTTTCCACTTACTGCCATCATAAATAATTTTTCATGTTGTTACAGAACTTTTTAACCTTTTTTTTTTTTTTTTTTTTTTTTTTTTTGCGGTACACGGGCCTCTCACTGTTGTGGCCTCTTCCGCTGCGGAGCACAGGCTCCGCGGCCATGGCTCACGGGCCCAGCCGCTCCGCGGCATGTGGGATCTTCCCGGACCGGGGCACGAACCCGTGTCCTTTGCATCGGCAGGCAGACTCTTAACCACTGCGCCACCAGGGAAGCCCTAGCCATATTTTTTAAAAAGTGGCAGTATAATACTCTCTCAGATGAATGCACAGTGATTTATTTCATCAGTCTCCTGTTGTTGGATATTCAGGTTGTCTCTTTTTTTCTTCCATAATACTCGATAACACTGCAGTGAATATGATTACATATATAATTTTTCTTTCCCCTGGATGATCTCATTAGGATAAATTTCTAGCAGTAAAAGTTCTGGGTTAAAGGCTGTGAATATTTTTATGGTTTCTATTAGGTGCTGCCAAATCACTTTCATTTTTTTTTTTTTTTTTTCTGGTATGCGGGCCTCTCCCTGTTGTGGCCTCTTCCG